AGCAGTAGCAGTAGCAGTAGCAGTAATAGTAGTAGTAGTAGTAGCAGTAGCAGTAGCAGTAGCAGCAGCAGTAGCAGCAGCAGCACTAGTAGTAGCAGTAGCAGTAGCAGTAGTAGTAGTAGCAGTAGTAGCAGTAGCAGTAGTAGCAGTAGCAGTAGCAGTAGTAGTAGCAGTAGTAGTAGCAGTACTAGCAGCAGCAGCAGTAGCAGCAGCAGCAGTAGCAGTAGCGGTAGCGGTAGTGGTAGCGGTAGCGGTAGTATGGTTAGTAGTAGTAGTAGTAGTAGTAGTAGTAGTAGTAGTAGTAGTAGTAGTATGGTTAGTAGTATGGTTAGTATGGTTAGTATGCTGGGGTTGGGTCAGGTCCAGGTTGACTGGCCAGGAACATTCCTCTATTCCTCATCCTCTGTTATACTCTCTCACTCCATCGTTTTTCCACACTAGTTCTTGCAATGTTGAGGTGACTGGCTGTCTACTGCACTTTTATTTCGCATTTATAACAAGTAGGTCTTGATAAAATCAAGCTATGAATTAAGCTTTATTAAAAACTGTTTCATAAACAGGCGATACTGCAGTTAGAAAATCATGGTTGACACACAGATACCTTTATGGACCAATTAAAGAGACTCTTGTATACACTCTTGGAGGTGAGTTCTAATCAGGTTGATATAAATTGAGTACATGTAGGTTTAATTATTACATAACAAAGTTAATTCAGTCAGATTGGTTTGTTGCCAGTCCAGTATTTTCCTAGAATAAGATATGTGGCCCTGTTGGACCACTCTTGAAGAGCTCTGTTCTTGAAGTTTTTAATGGCTTACTTGCCTGAAATAATGCACACATTAAAGGTTGTTTATCATTTTCTTCCAGCTTTGCTCCTTTTTTCAGTCTTAAATGATGATTTCCAGTCCATACTGTGCATTATTATTTCACTCAATGAAATGCGAATCGATGTTATTCGTTATGAACCACATACCTTATCTTTGAGGCCTTTGAAATTCTTTTTCCAACAGTTTCCTTGATTTTGACAGCTACTAAGTTGTTTCATCAAGTGATACCAGATAGAATGAAGCATAAAGTTTTGCATCCATTATGGCAGTTGACATGAAACTTCAAAATTACTTCCTGTAAGTAGTTGCAAAATGTTTCATTTTGTGACGTCGTACATTAATCAAAACAAAAAGCGTAAACGAACTCCTAAGAGTGCACAGTATGAACTGGAAATCACCTTTAAATGTCAGGCATGAGCAAATGCTAAGTCAGCCAGAATTGCAGCCTTGAAGTTTATATTAATAATAATTACCTTTCCTTAGTCTGTAATGTTTGGATTGTAATAGACTGTTTCTTAATCAAGTTTGCTTGGTACCATAGTGGGGACAGGGAGAATATCAGCCCGTTTATTTTTTTTCTCTTTGTACTCTCAACACCTTGGACTGATATTCTCCCATTACAATTTCTCAATTAGCCAATCAGAAGCTGTCTACTGTTCTTACTGTATATCCTGTGATATCAAGTCACCGACCTGACAAGGCTAAGATATCATGGTCACCTGGCCAAATTTGAGTACCGTAAATACCTACATGTAATACATCATATCTCTTTGTGGTATGCTTTGTTTGCAATTGTCAGGCTCATTTCATCTTGCTATGGGTATTTTGGCTCATGAAACGAGTTTAATATCCAGCCTGAGCATACCAGAAAGGTACGATTATGTATTAGTGTAGCCCCTCAAGCTTGAATACATGTACTAAGATATACTTATCTCGTCATATAATTTTTATTGGGAGTGGATATTGCATCTTTCCACTTTAATTTCTTCTTTTTTTAGCTGCCTATCATGCCTGGGAGGTACAACTAGATCACAACAGATATGTGATAATGGAAATATGGGACACTGCTGGCATTGAAAGACTTGATTCTGCTTGTGAATGGTACTGCAGAGGAGCACATGCTGCTATTGTTGTGTATGACATAACACAGGAAAAGTCATTTTGGAAAGCAAGATCTTGGTTACAAAGACTTCAGTATGAGGCCGGTCCAAATATTTTTAAAGCACTAGTAGGAAATGAAGCAGATTTTGCAAGCAAGAGGGAGGTGGAGTATAAGGTAATTTGTGTTACTTTGTAGCTCTGTAGGTTTCCATCAGGCAGAAGATCTGGAGTTTTGTTTAAAAATCTAATTCTGTCCATATTTCTTGTGGCAATTCCCCATTTTATAATAGTTAATTTTAATTCTAATTTTATATTAAAAGGCAGCCTAAAACTACAGACCTCACTATGAGGCTCTGGGGAGTAACTACAGAGTTTGTAGGGTTTATTTTAAACAGTTAGGGTTGGACTTAGTTTTATTTCACAAGGAAGTTTGCTCTACAGAAAAGGTCCAGAGTGTGCAAAGGCGTGGTCACCAAATGTCCTGTGTTTGGTTCTGGGAACAGCAACAGTTTATGGTCTTGGGAGCACAAGCTATAATTTTTGTTAGTCTTAATGTGTAAAAAGTCTTTGATGATATTATAGCCAGGTGCTTGATTATTCAGAGCTTTGTAAACAAGAAGTAAGTTTAAACTGAACATGATAAATAACAGGAAGCTGGTGCAGATGGTACAATTCAGAGGAGATATGGTGAAATTTGGATGTGCCAACAGTTAGTCTAGCAGTGGCATTTAATACTTTCTGAAGACGATCAGATTGGTAATTACTATTTAGGGACACCATACAGAAGAGAATTGTAGTGGTAGAGTTTTGATAGTCTCAGGACTGAGGAATTTCCTTATCTGCCGAATTTTGTAGAGGTCATAGAATGCCTGTACAACATTCTATATAAATCTAATGTCATCATCATCATTTTCATGGTGATCATCATCTTCATCATCTTCATCGTCATCATCATCTTCCTCGTCATCTTCATCCTCATCTTCATCCTCATCTTCATCATCATCTTCATCGTCATCATCATCCTCATCTTCATCCTCATCCTCGTCTTCATCGTCATCCTCATCATCATCCTCATCCTCATCTTCATTCTCATTTTCATCATCATCTTCATCCTCATCGTCATCTTCATCATCATCATCATCTTCATCTTCATCTTTATCTTCATCTTCATCTTCAGCATCAGCATCATCATCACCATTATCACCATCATCATCACCATCATCATCTTCATCTTTATCATCATTAGCGGCATCAGCGGCATCAGCGGCATCAGCGGCAGCATCATCATTAGAATCGCCAGCATTAGCATCAGCAGCAGCAGCAGCATCAGGATCATCAGCATCAGAAGCAGCCTCAGCAACATATGCAGCAGCAGCATCAGCATCACCAGCATCAGAAGCAGCATCATCAACATTAGGAGCAGCCTCAGCAGTCTCAGCAGCCTCAGCTTCAGCAGCTCAGCTTCAGCAGCAGTAGCCTCAGCAGCAGCATCATCATCAGCAGCATTAGCAGCAGCAGCATCAGCAGCAGCAGCATTATCATCATCAGCAGCACTATCACTATCGCTATCGCTATCATTATTATCATTAGTGACTGTAAGTCTCATTTTGGTGATTCCATCCATTGATGGAATCAGAATTGATCCTATTACAGGATTCCTATCTGCAATAGATAGATAGATAGATAAACTTTATTTAAACACGATAATAATTAAAGCTAAAAGCTTGTGGGGTCGCGTATTTAAATTTTACTTTGCAATCTGCCTCTGCTAATGCAGACACAGTTCCTATCTTGAATATGATTGTTTAGGATGCTCAATCTTATGCACATGACAATGGTGTGGATCTGTTTATGGAAGTGTCATCAAAAACCGGTGAGAATGTGGAGGACTTATTCTTAACAGTAGGTGAGTTATAGATTGGTAGTATTAGTTTTCAATGCTCTGTATACATGTTCATGTATGTATCTTTTCAGTGATTTCTTATCATCAACCTACAATGTGTGATCTCTCTTCCACTGTGTACTGGACAAAATTCAATGTACATGTCCATTCATTTAGATTACTCTGGGAAAACCCTATGTCGGCTACACTGGCCGGCACCTATTTCAACGTGTTGCCGACCATCAGAGCTCAGGTGGAATCAGAAACTACATCAAGAGGGAACGTAATATGGAGCCAGGGAGCCTTGAAGACCATTTTACCATCTTAAAGAAATGCGCGACTAAACTTGACTGCCTGATATATATCCGAGATCTTAAGCCGGTACTCAATACTCAGTCAGTCTCAATCAGAGCAAAACTGTTTGTTTAATTAACATAGTTTCCTAATAGTCACATGTTTTCTTGTCACTTAAAGTATTTTGCCACCTTGCGTGCATAATTGTAGATCCTTTTACAATGCAAAAAATAAACTACACATTTACTTGACAGTGAAATCCGACAATGTAGATGAAAGCTATTTTAGGGGAATTTAATCTATAGTTTTGGGATTTTTCTTGGGTTAACAACTTTGCCTATTATTTTGTTTTGTAATTAGATTCTGGTAGGTATTTGGCGTAGAAAGGCAGGCTCTATTGTTACGGAAAACAAAGGAGAACATGCATAACATGCAGTACAAGTACTTATATTTAAACGGTGTCCTCCATTTTGCATCAAATGATAAGACACTTTTGAATTGGGGGGGATTTAGTTTTGCCCACAGAGATTTTTGTTTTATTTTAATTGTACACTTCTGTTTCTGTTTCTCCTCGCATACTAGACAAAACACTACGTTTATGAGAAGGACCACTTTAGATTGGCTCCAGGCATTATCAGAGTTTAAACCCATGAACATGACCATGCAGCCAAACCAGATAGTCAATCTTCTTTTCGATCAGATCCTTACAGCCTGGACCTTTTTCTGGCTGGTATACATTCCTGAGGTGGAGAGGATTGTACCAAGTCATGAGCATGATGTTGCACCTAGTGCAGATGGTCAGTCCTGTTGCAATGGGCGAGGCAGTTGTCTAGGGTGGGCACTCTGCCTGTCAGTCCTTCTAGAACTAGGTCGACTCTTGCACGAAGCAGGCCCAGGGATGGTGGTATTTATGAAATAGAAAACATGTACTGTGTTTCTATCGAGTTATAGAAACACGAGTGGAAGTTTGGGAGAACAACAAATGCTGTCGGAACACGACCCGCAGGCGAGTGTTGCCACAGCTTTTTCGAGTCCTCCCAAACTTTCTCGAGTGTTTCTGTAACTCGATAGAAACACGGAGAACATGTTTTCTATTTCTTTAAGAAAAAAAAAACACCGGGAAGAAAAAATATAAAAACAACTTGTTAACTTTAATTATCAAAATGTAAATTCTCTTTGCTCGCGCCATGAATACGTCAACAGCTCGTGCTAGTTCTGTGTTTCTATCGAGTTACAGAAACACGATTTTTAACCAATCAGCAAGCGTATTTTCTTAGGGCTGTTTTCTGAATGTATTTCATGGCCAACTGCGAGAATCTAGTTGCATCTTTGAGCTTCAAAAGAACCTCCTCTATGGAGGACTATTTGGTGCTTTTTGCAGTGTGCAGCTTTTGGTTCGATCGACTGGCTCGTCTCAGTTGGTTAGAGGACTGGACTTGAAATTCCGAGCTCGTATGTGCGGATTCCATTCCCTAATCGGTAGTTCTGAGTTTTCAGGATTCCTGCTTTTCTTATGTTAGCTGCGAAAAACGCCACTGGGATCTTTTGATGGTGCATTTTTGTGATTGCATGTGGATTCATGGTGTACACTTTTGCTAATAGTTTTAAATTGCGTTAAAATTGAAGACATGATGACGTCGTGGCTTGCATACTTTTCAGCCGTTAAAGCTACTGCTAAATCTTGTAGTTGGACGTGACTGAAGTTCTGGGTGCCATAGATACGAAGGGAAGACATTGAGACGTAGGTGGGACTGATTCGTTGCAGTCCAGGTACTTTCAGTTTAGAGAATTGTTTTGCCCTGAGCAAAAACAGTCGTAGCTTTTTGCTGTTGTGGAGAGGGACTATGTTGACGTGGTTTGTTGTATGGGAGTAGCCAAATTTCTCATTGTCAGGTCAGCCATAGGTATAGCCTGGGTCGCGGACGCTCCATACCGCTGGTATATGTTGTTTACAGAGTTAAATATCCGTCTGCAACGCAGGCTACAGCCTACGCTGTGTG